ACCAGAGACAGCCTTATGGCCTAGTCTCACCAGTGTCAGACTAGAAAACAATGCCAAAAGGTGAACAGTACAAAGACAATGCACATATCAGAGCGCTTACAGCTCGGGTCGAGCAGTTACATTATGGTGGGATACGACTAGGACAGATCTGGGAGCTCGGGTCACATGAGCTGGTGAATATGGCAGTGGGCAGAAAGCATTGGCAACGAGGCGTGGTGCCATCCGCAGCTTTGGCTGTGATGAAACATTGATCTTAGCATTTTCAGGATAAAAAAAGAAAGTTGTGAACCTTCATTCATCAAACCGTGAGGGCTTGTGCATCAGACGGGCGATTGGCAATGTCTCTGTGACATTTCTAATGACACGTCTTTGACATTTTCTGAGGTATTCACCCTTGACAGTAAACTATTACATGCATTATTTAGCGTTTATGTCCCCTGAAACTGCCGCGGCAACAACACCAACAATTCCGCACTTCAAACCAGTAAACCCAGCTATGAGTGCCAAAGCACGCTATGTGAAAAAGTACATAACCAGTCATCAGCAGATATCTGATGTTCAATATCCTAACCATATTCAAAAGGTATATGTTTAATAAATATATGTAATGATTTGTTCTGGGGGGTGCGGGGGGGGGAAATATAATTAATTGTGTTTCATACGTGAAACAAATTGTACTTTACGGACAATGCAGCAGTAAAAGAACAGCATAAAGAACTGCATGCTGATGACTTAATTACTGGTTGCTTTGGCCAGCTGCTGCATGCGATTTGAACCATTTTAATGATTGATTTTTAAGATGGAAAAACACAGTTGTACTTATTCACATATTCACATATGTCACTCGCGTGCATTTGTCTGATATATGCGTGTGTGTGTGGGCTTGGGCATTGTACACTGCGTTTGTATTTTCATGGGGGGTGGTTGCATAGTGGGTGGCCTAATGCGCTACTATTTTGGTAACTGATTCATGGTCATGCACACCACCATCGGCAATTGTATCAACTCTGCTTGAACCTCTTTTAGGATGACTCAGCCTAAGTTAAGGACCTTGTGCATTATGGTCCACACAAGCACTGGGGAGACAATGTGAATGGGTTTGGGACTGGAAACATTTTCTTTAGAGTATTTGGCTGCTATACATGTTCACATGATATATCACTTCGTTGAGCTATCATTTGTGGACAAGTCCCTGCTGAAAAAGAGCTGTATAGCTCAGTGGGCATTACCTGGTAAAATAATGTTATCCTAGTTGTGCTATTGATGCCATGCCATGAGAAGAAGAATCCATCCACAACAAGCCCCCCTGATTAAAGAACAAAGTGGATATCACGGAACTTCTTCTGAAAACCCTTGAAGTGACCTCTTCCACAAATTACGGGGGCAGCACTTTCCTACCCACCCTGCTCCATAGTAATATCAGTTATATGACATTAAAAGATTTTGCTTCATTTTCAGAGTTGAAATTTGATACAGCTGTGGTCAGTCTGAAATCATCATCTCACTGAGCTTAGGGAACTGATTTGAGCACCGGATTCAAACTCAGGATCCCAGTGGTCCTATTTCAGCACTCACCTCTGAGCTACCCAGTGCCACAACAAAGCTTCATGGGCCACTATAAGCACCGGCCCAACAGCTTGCTTCGATAAATAGCACATCGAAGGCATTGGGTGGTAGTGCAGCACAGTTGGGACACTTGTGCCTTGGAGCAAGAAGAGCCTGGGTTCGATTCCCAACTCAGGCGCCTTGTGGAGTTTTTATATTCTCCCCCTGTTCTGCATGCGATTCCTCATGCTATAAAAAAGCACAACACAATGTAACTTTTATTGGCCAAACATCCAAATGCTTAACAACTACTTGCAAATGACCCAATTGGGATTACGAACAGCAAAAACTTGGCAAGACTCTCCTGACAAAGGGTAGGCTTTCCTGGATAAACAAGAATAATAATGCATCTACTTAATTCCATTATCATATTCTGTAATATTTATATTCTTGGTTCTTTTGGTAAAGTCACGTAGAAGGGAAACAATAAAATAATAAAAATATAAAACAATACAATGCTCACGACGTTTTGACTGCAACACAAGCAATCATCATCAGCTGTGAAAACCACATTTTCGTGTTGTGTTATTTAATTATTACAGTGCCTGCTAGCATATGAAACAAATTAATTAATACCTCAAGCATTCAGCTATAACTTACTATGAAATTACCAAACAAATGTTTTTTTCAGTCTTTAAAATAAACAATACACGGAATGCAATGTTTGTATTAAGAGCTAACACTGTGTACTTACATAGAAACGAGTTCGTGTGAACACGAGTTGGTACATATTTTGTTATTGAAATCAAAAACAGATTTGCACCATGTAACACCCAATGTGCTATTTTCCAAAATTTGTAATCCCTTAATATTCAAGGCACTGTGACGATTTTTTTTACAGTTATGAATAGTGAGTGATATAATTTCACATTAGTATCCAACAACTCAATGTGGGTACATAAAATATTTACATCGAGCTATCTTGTTGTGCGATTAGCACTGTGGGCTACGTATGGTGCGAAAAAAGTTCAGTTCAACATATCAGCTCGTATTGCACTCAATTATAGACATCACGTGAACATTGTGCAGATTCTTGACCAACTATTTAATCGAGAAGAATTTGGCCAAACATTCCTGGAAAAAAATATTTTAGGACTCCAGAGGCTTTGTTAGAGATCCTGTGACGCTATTCGAGAGAGAGTAGGCCATGTGTGCCAGTGTCCCGTTCAAGTTTGAACAATTACCTGCACATTACATACCTATTGTAAAAACGGGTCGAGTGTTGCCGCACTGGCCCTACTGGCACACTGTAACTGCCAGTAACAATGTAGCACTTTTGTGGTAGCCTTGCGCTATGAAGATGGTGCGAACACATTCTACCAAACTCGTATTATCGTTATTGCCAATAGACTTAGTGGAAATTCAGGCTTTCAGGGCAAGGTGGAACTTGTTATTCATGGGAGGCTAAGAGAGATGCACCACTGCACTGCACGTAACCCACATTGATGGGCTTTTGTCAACGAGACACAATGACTTGTCATCCCACCTATGCCATTCTGCACACAACCCTTAATTGGTCTGAGTCACTGTGGCAGATCTCTCGCATATCTCCTCGGTAATGGATAAAGGGTCAGCCCTGGGATATCTTGATCACGCCACTGCTGGCAGAAGGGATTCGAATAGGGAGGGCTCTAGAGAGATCCTATAGATTGGTGATACTCTGCCACACTGGCCAGAGGTATTGGAAGAGGTGGAAGTATCCACCACTTGACCCCACCGCACGCAACCTGCCCAGCGGATGACTCTGGTTGAATCCATGTACACTGGGAGATCGAACCGGCGACTCCTGCATTTCAAATCGAGTGTGTGAACCGTTACACCACAGAAGCATCCCCGCCAAGTTCTGCTATTTTACTTTAAATCTGAGGAGAAATTGGTGAAATTGGCAGATATCTGATAAAAATGCAACAGTGTATAAATATGTTACTGCAGTAAAAAAAGTCAATTATCTGAAAAGCACTTTAATAAATGAAGTTTCACTCTAAATGTTTGAGTGACTTTCAATCCTGCGTTGTGATTCCTGCGTAAGAAGATTTTGTAGATTTTTGATTTAAAGCTTTCGTGACTGCAGGAATTCATATTCTTGGTTCTTTCGGTAAAGTCACGTTGAAGGGAAACAATAAAATAATAAAAATATAACAAATACAATTCTCACGACGTTTCGACTGCAACACAAGCAATCATCATCAGGTGTGTAGAAGTAAGTCTCCAATGCCAATGCTGCAGATGTTTTCTGCCACAAGCTATCGTGTGTATGCCGAGTTTCTTTTGCACCGTACATAGTTAACCATGCTAATCGGAGGTGTGGGGAAGGACAACAAGCTAAACACTCAAAGCGATTCTCAAGAAATCAGTTATCAATCGAGATTTGCTTCCTAATATTGCGCGGCTCACTGTGATAAATGCTTTATGCTTCATATTATGACATAAAACCAATACAGAATCGCAGTGTGCATGTAAAAACCAAACTACCATATTAATCATGACATGAATGAGTTAAAGTTTATTTGTTTCACCAACCGAGAACTAAAGAGATCAGGGTCGTAAAATTTTCAAGAATGAGTCAGTTATTTTGTTTGGAAGATTTTTTTTATTCATCATAGAAGTTTTTGGGTTACATCGCCTCAATATAAATGTTTTTTGGGTTAGATCATGTAAATATATAAATGTGTCGTTAAACCCGCCATCACCGAACACAGCCACTTAAGTAACGTTTGTCACATAAACGGAACATGCCAATTCGTTATTAGTACAGCATACCAGTGTCTTGGGGAGCAAATCCACAACTTTTACAATCTGAGTACAACGTTTCGCCAGTAATTACAACTAGCATAATCAGGCGACAGCCAGAGTTGTGGAGAAATCCTCCTGTTTCGGTCTTAAATACTTATATTCACGTGATCTGACCCAAAAACTTCGATTATGGGATAATGTTAGTCGTGAAAGCCTACTACTACGAGGTGTTAAAGGTTTTGTTGGGTGTACTCCCCCCCCGCCCCCACTTCCTTTTCCTTTTGCTCCTCTTCCCCTTGCCTGCCCTTTCCCATATAACAACCCTACCGCTACCCGCTGCTCGTAGTCCCTGCCTACGTGAATGGGGCAAGTGAGACCAATACCGCCCCCCCCCCCTCCCAGGACTCAGGAATACTGAGTTCAGACTTTGGTCCGTTGAATTTCTGTACCCTTGTTACAGTTCGTGCCTTTTACCGGGTTCTTGTTACATTTAAAAAAAAAATAAGAATAGGAAAGGACATTTTTTTAATAACACGTAAGTACATTTTCAGAGATATAATAATAAGTAACAAATAACATTAGCAGAATATAACAATGTAAAAAAAATAAGAGCGACCCAGTGAATGTTCCCATTTGAAGACGATCACTTGGACTTCCCGCAGACATTACCTGGCGCCCGCGTCTGGGTTCCAGAGTTTGCAGTTCCGCATGCTCGAGAACAAGATCGGTGTTCCGGACAGCCTGCGCGTGCCGTACAACAAGCGCCACTTCCGCGACAGCTTCCGGGGAGAGGAGTTTGAGAAGCTGCGCTTGTCGGAAATCGAGCCCACGCTCCTGCAGCTCGTTCAGGTGAAGGGGGCTCGAAACTCGGAATGGCCTTCGTTTTTTTTTTTTTTCACTGTCAGTGCAGCAAATGCTGGCACGTTCAAATTCACTGGCGTCGTCAGTCGAAACAAAATCAGCGTTCCGGCACTCTTCAATTCGAGTTTCACGGTGGAAGCGTGTCGGTGGGTGCCTACGTAACCAGGGTTGACATGAATGCTAAAAGCCCAGCGTTTAAACGCTTCTCGCCTGTGTACGTGTATTTGCATGTGCGTGTGCATATGTATGTACTGGGGAGTGATTGTAGTAGGGGTTAGTGCACTGCGCTACAAACCCGGCGACCCGAGTTTGATTCCCGCTCTTGGCCAACAATGGTGATGATTATCTGAACTGGTCCTGGGCCTCCCCTAGGTCGACTCAGCTACAAATGAGTACCTGGTACGGTGTGTAAACATCACCATTGGGGAGACAAATTCGGCCGTCCGTGGTGTTGACCACCCACTCCCACATGTGCCATACCGGCCTTCATAGGTGCTCGCAAACGGCACTTGCCTCAAGTCTGTTGAGGTGATACGGGGGATCTTGTTCGTATTGTACTGTATGTGTACATGGGCTTATGTCCAATATTATTGCATTAAGTATATACTTGTAAATATATGTACGACACAGTGGTTAGTGTGCTGTGCTTAGAACCTGGCAGCTTGAGTTTGATACCCGGTTACAGCTAACATCAGTAGCAAAGTATATGCAGAACTTGTAAGGTTCTCCTTTAGACCAACTTAGCCTTCAATGATGACCTGGTGCAGTATTAAACATGATCACTGGTGAGACAAAGTTGGTTAGCGATTGCTGCTAACCATATCACCCCTACCGTTTTTCATTCTAGTCTTAATAGGTGCTTGCTAACAATGCTTAATCAAACATACATTATAGAGGGTTATGTACGTACAATATGCGTTCCATTGTTTATATGTGTGTGTGTGTGCGTGCATGGGTGTTTATAAATTTACGTATGTAACGTTAGTCATGATCAGTCATCATCGTTATCAAGTTCTTAGATGAATGTATAATTTTTTTTACCCACAAAGAAGGCACAAAATGAAAGCCCAGTGACGTCTGAGTACGCTGTGGATACCAGTTGCTCAATTCTTTGGTTGAAGTAATTGTATTACCATATAACTGGATGCTGGATCAGAAGTAAATTTTGTGTTCAGTTTTTTAGAATGTATTATATTCATGGAATGCATGTGAAAATGTTGTGACAGACATAAAACCACCGTGTCTGCTGCCTGATGTTGAAAATTGCTTAATGTTTTTTTTTCTAATTTGGCAATGTGGTGCTGCGGCAGAGCACTACACTCACAATTCGACAGTTGTGAAATGAAAAACAGTTGTTGAATGACTGAGCCCATCGTTGTATGTATGTTGAACTTCTTTCGCACCGTACGTAGCCAACCACGCTAATTGGAGGTGCGGGGGAAGGACAACAAACTGAACACAAAAAGGAGTGCTAAATAAATTAGGTTTCAACCTAGACTATTTAAAAATACACAGCTTCAGCGGCTTCCTAATATCGGAAGGAAGAGCGTTCAAGACGGCCACAGAAAGACATCTGAAAGAACCGCAGGATTCGGTGGCCATCTTTGTTTATTACTCTGGGGTTGATAAAATCCGGTACCAATTTCGTGAGAAGTCAACAGCGAGACGCCCCATTGTAGACACATCCTCATATAAGCATGGAGGCATTTTTACTCTAACAAAAAAACGATGACCGCTGTGGAGACGGAATAACTAAATCAATTAATGTAACGGTGCGAAAATGATGCCACCATCACAATATTACGATGGATGACGATGAAGTGCATTAGATGTAATTGAAGAGCTGATAACCGAAGTAGGATGATACAGAACTACTATTGTGTAGTGACATTTCCACAAGTGTTTTTTTTTGCTAAAGAGATTATCAACCATAATGCCCTCTTGTTTGGATAAACGATAATAATGAACATTATACCCTACACAGTGTAAATATTTGGTGAAATTTTCCTTTTTTGTTTCCTCCAAAAAGTAATGTTTAAACTGAGCAAGGTCAATTTTCTGAAATACGTATAACCAGATGATGTATTTTACAATGCTATATTGGTTTATACCAGCTGCATTAAATGTTCTGGGAGGTCAAGTGTGTGGCATTGTAAGACAGGTTTTTATTTTCATTTAAACATGATTGTGGGCTCTTAATAACGTCACCAGTACTTGCTCTCATCTGCTGCATTCTGTAAAATAATGTTTCAGGTCAAATCAAATATCAAGGGAATTTTTTACAGGAATGTATAACCAATTACAGTTGATAATGGCCCACATAATAGCATGAATTTCTTGGATGATTCTCTTAGGTAAATGCAGACATAGTCTTCTACACTTGTTAGTGTTCAACATACTTCACATTCTTCTATTAAAAGCCATACTTTTTGGCTAGAAAAATAATGCTTAAACATCCTCAAGCATGAACATTTTAAAGCAAAATAATGTTTTATGGTTTAATATGATTTCAGTCAAAGGAACCCTGAAATATTTTTTTATATAACATATCTATCATTTTTTACATAATTCGTGTTCACTATAAGTGTGTCGGCAGGGAAGGCATACATTTTGCCTCCGTATTCAAACGTTTTTTTATTGTTGTCAACAATTGTGATTAATCTGTGTTTTTTTCAGGAGTGGCTTGAGAGGACCCCAGGTTTGGAAGTGGGCGGCTTCAACTTCTGGGAGAAGCTGAAGAAGAGTGTCTCTGAAAGGTTGGAGGAAGAGGCTTGCAAGGCCAAGGTGGGGACCTCTCTTCTGTTTTGTTTTGCTTGAGAAAGCCACTCACTCACGAGATGCGTGGCCAGCACAGGGTCACAGCAGCCTCCTCCTGTGCAAGCACCTTCACTCGAAGCTCCAGGATCTGCCTTGGTCTGTAGCAGGCATAGCAGCAGCAGCCTGTGGCTTCTGCGCCCATGTGTGGTGAGATGTTAACTACTTCACCTGGTATACAGGTGGTTGTGGGTTCGATCCCGACTTTGATGCCTGTATATTTGGAGTTTACATGTTCTCCCCGTGATCGTGTGGATTTTTCTTCAGGTCCTCCGGTTTATCCCTCTGCTGTAAATGTCCACGTGATACGCCACTTCTTTGCGCGATCATTTGTGGCCAGGTCGCTTCTGAAAAAGAGCTCTGTAGCTCAGTGAACCCTACTTGGTAGTTTATAGTTTGAGTTTACGCGAGAGCCGTGTCCAGTCGCTTCCCCCAGTTCTCGTGCCGCGTTGTCAGGTCGCGGACACAAAGGTAGAGATGGGCGGCGTGAGCCGGCGAGTTGACGGCCGTCCGTCTGACGCCGTCTGAACAGAGCCGCCGGGCGCCCCCGCGGGCCTTGGGCTGGCGTATTACGCCCAGACCGGTCGCAATATTTATTTTTGTCGCTCGTAAAGTAGGACGCCAGCGGACGCCGAGGATGCGACGGTTGAGACAGTGGGGTCGGAGTAGCCATCCCGTGCACTCTGCATACATTCCACGTTGTGACGAGTACGGCTTGTTTCAACAAAAGCAAGAGGCGTGCACTTTGCAAGACGCTGTGCTCAAGGTGATAATGAATATGGCGATGTTCTCAAAGCACAGAGATACGACAGGTTAAGCATTGCTGTCGATGTATTATATTTAATTTCTGTTATACTGGTTCCACAACACATTAAGCATTTTTGGAGGTTTAGAAATGTCTCAATAACCAATACAAACGTATGCAGTAATAATTCAACAGCGGTCAAAATTCAGGGTGACTCGTGTGATAACTGTTTTCAGTCATGGGAAGAGATGGCTGCTGTGCTGTCTGAAACTGCTACATAAATCCATGTTTGGGGATACAACAGTGATACTTATGATGTCATTCGAGTAATCTAGAAAAGAATGCATCTTACATTTCATATCACAACAGCTGTACAGTGTTTAATGTCACAACAACGTTTTACTGGTAAAATAATTTAATAAAATCAATGTACATTATGAGACCTCCTTTGCCATTAGCAAGATATAGTAATAGGTTTTTACCATTTTATTTGGCACCAAAACTGACACCTTTATACAAGGGATCATGTTTGCAATAACCACAACACAAGCAGTCAAAATGCAAACATAAAGAGACAACTCTGATAATGTTATGCACTGTCCTTGAAATTGATTGGTCCACACCCGAGACGGCTTTTCTTAGAGCCTAGTCTCCACTTGTGTTGGACCAGATGACGCCAAAAGGCATACAACTCAAAAACAGCACACTATCAGAGTATTGAGGGCTCGGGGTAAGCATTTACATTATGAGACCTCCTCTGCCAGTAGCAAGATATAGTAATAAGTTTTTACCCTTTTATCTGGCACCAAAACTGACACCTTTATACAAGGGCGTCATCTGATCCAACACCAGCGGAGACTAGGCTCTAAGGAAAGCCGTCTTGGGTGTGGACCAATCAATTTCAAGGACAGTGCATAACATTATCAGAGCTGTATCTTTATGTTTGCATTTTGACTGCTTGTGTTGTGGTTATTGCAAACATGATCCCTTGTATAAAGGTGTCAGTTTTGGTGCCAGATAAAAGTGTAAAACCTATTACTATATCTTGCTACTGGCAAAGGAGGCATCATAATGTAAATGCTTACCCAGAGCCCTCAGTACTCTGATAGTGCGTTGTTTTTGAGTTGTATGCCTTTTGGCGTCATCTGGTCCAACACAAGTGGAGACTAGGCTCTAAGAAAAGCCGTCTAGGGTGTGGACCAATCAATTTCAAGGACAGTGCATAACATTATCAGAGTTGTCTCTTTTTGTTTGCATTTTGACTGCTTGTGTTGTGGTTATTGCAAACATGATCCCTTGTATAAAGGTGCCAGTTTTGGTGCCAGATAAAAGGGTAAAAACCTATTACTAAAATCAATGTACTGAATATTATATAAAAAAAGAATGCAGTGTTTAAAATAAATTTAGAAGCAGAAGGAGGAGTTGTGGATTAGTAAACTCCTGCAGGTTAAATACTTAATTTTGGTTGAAGTAAAGTGGGCTTTTGCAGGACATGTTTTTAGAATTGTTTTTTAGAAGGGATGATAGCCAGCATATGAGAATTTAAATTTAATGTCAGCCCTTGGGGATGGAGAGAATAAATACGCATTTGTATGTATGTTGAACTTTCGCACCATACGTAGCCAACCGTGCTTATCGGAGGTGCGGGGAAGGACAATAAACTAAACACATAAAGCAGTTCTAGATTTGAAGCTTTCGTGACTGCAAGGATTCGTACTCTTTGGTTCTATTCAGTAAAGTCAAGTAAAAGTATAAAACAACAAAAAATAAAAAATAAAAAATTCACAACGTTTCGGCCACAACACAAGTGGACTTATTCAGGTGAAGGGACAAGACAGTCTCGAGGACAGCGCTGGAGTGAACACAGCCAAGCTCAGACTGCGACCTTTAAGCTTGTGTAAGAGGAATGAAGGTGCCTTGACAAAGGAATTAGCATAAAAATAGCATTTAAATGGCGGACTTAGCATGATGAACGGTGTATAGGGGGTGAGCAGGGTTCCTTGAATAAGGATTCTGTTAGGTATTTTAACATCTTGACACCTGTTTTATGGCCTGAAAGGGTTTAACCTATTCTTATAAGGAGATAGAGTGATGGAATTTAGTCTGTGTGCAGATGCTGGGTGGATTGTTTACTTAAAACCCGATGAGAAGCCTGTTTAGGGGATCCAACTGGCGACCTCTGCATTGCAAGTCCGGCATGCAAACCTTTATCTACCGCGGCAGCATCCCTCCTGTGTGCTTACATCCCTTAACTACAAACTCGTTAATTTGTCTTGCTCTGTATCCTTTTGAATGCACTAACGTCAGTGGTAGTAAGATGGTGTCAGCACGTGCCATTGTAATAAACATTAGTGAGTAAATGCTGAAGTGGCCAAACTGATGGAAAAAAGGAGTGTTGATGTTTATTATGTTTGATAAAGAGGTGACGCATAACCCATTAGGAATGACATTGCTGAGGGTTCTTAAAGAGTTTGTCTTCCATTTTAACCTTCTGTGAAATTAAGAAAGGAACAATGAGTATGCAGGATGCAATGTGCCAACTCGAAAACCGTCACAAGTGCATTAATGATGTACATTTCCTAATTCCGAGAAGCCATACTCATACCCTTTTTATTAGTCATTAAGTTTGTCTAATTAATTTTTAGAAATTTGTTTTATCAGAAAAAAACATCGCTGGATCTCAATACACTTCTTCAGGATGGAGTAATTATATGTATTTTTTTAATAAAGGGCGATTATCCCCATGTGTTTAACCAATTAAGTAATGTGCGAGTAATTTTTTGTTCAAATTAAGACCATAGTTTTGGCATACATGGCCTAATTTTTTTCAAACCATGTTGTAAGGCCTTTAACGTCCACCACCGTGCAGAAGCCAATATACAGTGAGGGAAAAAAGTATTTGATCCCCTGCTGATTTTGTACGGTTGCCCACTGACAAAGAAATGATCAGTCTATAATTTTAATGGTAGGTTTAATTGAACAGTGAGAGACAGAATAACAACAATAAAATCCAGAAAAACGCATGTCAAAAATGTTATAAATTGATTTGCATTTTAATGAGGGAAATAAGTATTTGACCCATCTGCAAAACATGACTTAGTACTTGGTGGCAAAACCCTTGTTGGCAATCACAGAGATTAGACGTTTCTTGTAGTTGGCCACCAGGTTTGCACACATCTCAGGAGGGATTTTGTCCCACTCCTCTTTGCAGAACTTCTCCAAGTCATTAAGGTTTCGAGGCTGACGTTTGGCAACTCGAACCTTCAGCTCCTTCCACTGATTTTCTATGGGATTAAGGTCTTGAGACTGGCTAGGCCACTCCAGGACCTTAATGTGCATCTTCTTGAGCCACTCCTTTGTTGCCTTGGCCGTGTGTTTTGAGTCATTGTCATGCTGGAATACCCATCCACGACCCATTTTCAATGCCCTGGCTGAGGGAAGGAGGTTCTCACCCAAGATTTGATGGTACATGGCCCCGTCCATCGTCCCTTTGATGCAGTGAAGTTGTTCTGACCCCTTAGCAGAAAAACACCCCCAAAGCATAATCTTTCCACCTCCATGTTTGACAGTGGGGATGGTGTTCTTGGGGTCATAGGCAGCATTACTCCTCCTCCAAACATGGCGAGTTGAGTTGATGCCAAAGAGCTCCATTTTGGTCTCATCTGACCACAACACTTTCACCCATATTCTTTGGTTCTTTCGGTAAAATCACGTAGAATGAGAATAAAATAATAAATTGATAAAATAAAATAACACAATAATATTCTCACGACGTTTCGGCCACAACACAAGCGGCCTTCATCAGGTGAAGGGACGAGACTGTCTGGAGGACAGCGCTGGAGTGAAAAAGCCACGCTCAGATCGCGACCTTTAAGCTGTGTGAGAAGAAACAAAGCGCCTTGACAAAGGAATTAGCATAGAATTTAGCATTGAAATGGCTGAGTGATTAGCTTGTGACTGGTCACAGAAATGCCTATGTTAAAGTTAAAGCATACACATCTGCAGAGGCACCCATTGACAAAGGAATTAGCATAGAATTTAGCATTGAAATAGCTTTCACCCAGTTGTCCTCTGAATCATTCAGATGTTCATTGGCAAACTTCAGACGGGCATGTATATGTGCCTTCTTGAGCAGGGGGACCTTGTGGGCGTTGCAGGATTTCAGTCCTTCACGGCGTAGTGTGTTACCATTTGTTTTCTTGGTGACTATGGTCCCAGCTGCATT